AAACATATTGTATACAATTTAAAAAGATCTTTACATTTAATATGTTGTGATATAAATTGTTTAAATTTTATAATCATTATATTTCTATCAATAAATCGTTATTATTTTACAAACTCGGTTATATAAATCTTCAAATACGTCTGAAATCTATTCTAGCGTGTTTCATAAAAAGTCTTTTCATGACAAAAAATGAATTTTATTTTTTTCCTAAAAGCTTTGCATGCAATTTTCGTATGACCTCCCTTTCTTTTCGTATATATATATATATATATATATATTATATTTATACTTCTGTTCTTCTGTAAAGCATTCGAAAAATCCTATTCGACCGAATTAGGTTATCATTAAAATTATTTCGCATACTTGAGTACGTAACGATATTAAAACGGCTTCAGATGAGAGGATTATACCTATGAATTTAATAATATATATTTACACGTTTCTGTTGGGTAAAAACATATCTGCATATTAAATAATATAAATAAAGATACTGAATACAATATGCTATAATGCATTTATATATTCGTACACAGTCCTGAATAATATCCAAATAGACCAAATAACACAATCGTATCGTATAATACATTTTTTTTTTTTTTAGTAACCTGGAGTTTCTGAGAGTTTTTTCTTGAAAATGTGACGAAGGGTTKGAATTAGTTCCTTTTATTTCTTAGGAACGAGGAATGTAACAAATTCCTTTTCAAAAAGAACGTTATAACACTGAATATATTCGTGAGCTTAAATTATTATATGCGCGCGYGTGTATGAACTCAAAAACAGTTCTTCATAAAATACGTRTATAATAAAAACGATAAATACCCCAGTAATGGCGTTGGAGATGGAAGCGGATTACATATATTACTCGTGSATTTCGTAATTTAACTTGACGGTGGAGTATGGCGTGTAAACGAATTTAGGATTTACGACTCCGGTCAAAAACAACGTGGTATTCGAATTTGTTTTTATTTTTTTGCATTTGCCTTTCCTCTCTTATTCTTTCCACGTGGTCACTAATTCATTTCACGCAAGTATAATGCTTAAAACTTCGTGTAATTGCATTTTCTTGTTAATATTTTTATTATTATTTTTTTTTTGTCTTCACCCACCGCTTTCATAGTTATGACCGACGTTGCAGTCGAAAAAAGTCATAATACTAACATATACAAACACACACATTCTTCTATATTTTTATGTAATTGCAGTTRTGTGCACATTTTCTTACAATTTATTCCAATTAAACCATGCCAATATTATTGGAAAGATAAATTACCGATCTTATKTTTAATTAGGTATTRATATGTCTACTGGCACTGTTAATTAAATGATTCGTTACAATATTTAGCAATAAACGTATCTTCGTATTAAAAAATGTAAAAAAATAACAAATACTGGCCTTATGAGTATGAGTATGAGTAACAACCTTCGATGGACTATAATAAATGTTTAAAAAAGTTAATTAATATACCTAATTATAAATGGCGCGTTAATAGCGTGTAACCTTGAACGACGCATTAATATTTACATATATACTCATAYGAATAATAGTTGAAATAGACCATGTAGGCATTTTGTTTTTTTTTCTAATTATCCCGCGGCAACTAAGGCCATTGGGAAGGGGATAGTACTGTAAGTTTTATGGAACGGTAGGTTGGTTATACGTGGGTGAGAGTTTTGGCAGAATTTCTATTGGTTAGGTTAGGCACCCGTAGGTTTCTGCCATTCCCCGGAGTGGGGGATGGCGGATTTTGTGTTTTGTGTAAACGGATACTCATATATCTGTATTAATAAATATATTTGCGAAGAACATCCGGCACGTGCCGCGCCCGTTGGCCTCGTACGGCATAATGGCAGGGATAGTGACCATCGACTAAGTCGTTGAGATACGCTGAGCTACTATAGCTTTCATAAGACAAACCGACACCATCAACCAACTACAATAAATTAGCATTCAAATCACATCTCGATAGTCTACGCTACACATTATTAAAACCCCGTTAAAATGTTATTGTGAATCTCACAAATTAAATCAATTAACAAATCCAGACATTGCTGAATTAAAACACGAATATTCAAATACTTGTTCAGTTATTTCAACTATTACTTCCATCTCACCGAACTACAGTGTAGGCTCGCCACAGATATTCAGATAACCCTGTAGTATTATATACATTTTCGCGAGATATAGGACCTAACACTTAACAGATATAACTCGTTTACAGCCGTTTGCTTACTCACTTAAATGTTCAATATTTTATACTCATAGAATATTTCAAAAMAATATACTATGTATGTATAATTTTAAAATTATTTAAACATTTACAAAAATAAGTTCAGCGAACTTATCAGTAAAAATTGTTATCTTTGGTTTTACTCATCTCTATGAAAATCATTATATACATACATATAAATATATAATGATTATTGAATATAAATAGTATAACGCATATACCTTCTTCTTGCCCATTTATAATATAAAATAATGTATCTAGTTATTATATGATGTGTAATTATAAATATTCCCTAATAATATTATGTATTRTGAATTTCACATTTTTTCAACCACCATTGAAACTAATGTCAAATAATTTATTTTTCTAAATAATAAATTATAGTAGGCAGCTGATAATGTGAGTGTTACAAAGAATTGATATTTTCATATTTGAATACACTTATTAATATCATGTAATACTATTTGTTTCAATTTGAAGTCCACATGCAATTAAAAATCCAATTATTATAACAAATAACATTATTAATTAATAATGTTCGTCAAAGGTTTACTCATTAATATTATTATAGACATAAATTAGTATTATATTGTAATCACATGACACAGTGGTGTACATATATAATTTTCTAAGCAATCATAACCAACATAGACTTCATCAAATCGCATGGTTTCGTTTCAAATCATAGGTATGTGACCAATATTTAATGGCATTTATCCGACATGTATAAATGATTGAGGCGGATGTCCGTGAAAATGTATGAGTATATTTAGTATGTATATATCTACACGAATAGAATATTGTCTCCCCACATACTATAACATAGTATGTAGGTATATAAAATGTTATTTTTTATTATCCAAGTCAAGTGATAGCACTTTTCCAAAATTAACAGTTTTACTTATAATTTGGAAAAACACGAAATGATTTCATGGTGTGCTGTTACAGATGAAATGCAAACTATATGCAAAACCCATTTTCTGCAACAAGTATACAGAAAGATCGAAGGTGCGGTATTGAACTCGCAAAACGAACGGAACTTGGACTGTGTGACCACATTCCAAACACATTCCATCCTACAGAGGTTTATGATACATTTTGATCGTTTGCAATTGGATTGCAACGATCATCTGTTCATATTTGATGGTGCCCATGCGGTCGGACAACATAAGGTAAGTCAATCGATTACATTTTGTAGTATAAATGTATTGGTTTTCTAAAAAAACATAATTTAAACGAAACATACTAAACAGCATTCAAAATAATTTAAACTGATAAATTATATTGCAGTGTCTTTTAACAACATATTATACTAAAGGGAAAAACACATCCTTTATTATTTTGAATTCACTAGTAAATACCATCATAAAAAATTATTGTTTATAACTTGAGCTGGTAGCTGTTTATATTTATAAATAAAGCATCTTAAATTTTGAATGCGTTCATGAATGATGGTATATCTATACGAACCTATTGATTAATTCTTAAGTCAAATATTTTGGTTGAGTGGACATCATGGATGAATAATGTCTACTGAAAAACAATATTATACCATTGTGCTGGTCTAAGCAAAAATAAATACAAAATACATATATTCATCTCAAGGTTATTAAGCGAGCAATATTAAATTTTTATTTTTCACAAATTAAAAAATGGTCAATGTGCTTAGTTCTTTTATACATTTATAAAATACAAATCTGTCATCGGTCACTCACGTATCTTCATAGATATTTAAACATTGTAAAAACATATTAACAGAATAGTTGTGTAGCGTGGTAAACGGTAACTCTATTTAGTRCTTCTATAATATTATTTACAACCAATTGTTTCCTTATTGTAAGCTATATACTCTATTGTAGTGTTTAAAAAATATTATTTAAAATATATTCAAACGGGGAGTGTATATATTTTGGGATAAGTGAGGTGTTTTTACTCTAATTAATGTTGCAAGCAAAAATTACTTGAGAACATTATGATAGGAAGTGAAAAAAAGATTTTATTTGTTTTCACATTTATTCGACAAGTTTAATTTGAAGAACAATAACGTGAAAAATAAGTCCATAGATATTTATTAGTTAGCAAAAAGCTTACTATGTGTATCGTGTTATATTATTCAACTTGTATTCCCAGATCGAAAATGTTGGTTAAATTAAAATACGTAGAAACATTTAYAACCTTGTGTCGATGCGTAACAATCGCAATATACTCACCAGTTATGAAAAATAATCCATTCAGTTTGTGTTTCATTACTGTTAGTCCCAGTGGATTTTGTGATATCTGTTTCAACCATTTCAATCAAGTCGGAATATTWACGGCTACAAAAGCGTTGACCTCGGGGGTGGCATTTACTCTTCGACACCAAGGTCCAGTAAAGATGTTTAATATTATCGATATTCGTTTCACAGTTGCCGGAAATTAATTTAGATTATACGTATAAATGTGTAATACAGTAATACCCCTATATATTATTATTATGATATAGCTGATGTGTATTTTCTAWCAATCGATTCATCTCAAATGCTATACAATATAATGATTGATTTTAATGAAATTCTCATTTCGGAAAGAGAAAATGTCATTATAAATCATCATTTCATGAATGCTCATAGTCTATCCTGACTATCTTGACGGATCGGTGAATTATTTCTATACACATATTAGACATTAGGTTATATGTTTGAAATAGTTCGTGTTCAACTCGCGTTTTACGAAGTACCTAACTAGTTGTTATAAGTAAAATTATGATATTATGTTCGATTGAAGTATGGAAAACTACTCTATGTATAGCTATACAACATGTGTTTGTTATATTATTATTGAAATAATTTCAAAGGTAAAAAATTCATTAACAGTTACCTAAATAATAATAAGAAGGGTAGTGTATAGCGTGGTCAGAAATAAATGGGTCGATTTCCATTTTGGTCGCATGCATAGTTTGTGATAAGTGAGTAAGCGGTTCGGGTGGGCACGCGACAAAAAAAAAATTGTGATTTTCCACCAAAATATGCATACGCAAAAGGGTCGCTTGCCACAGACTATGTCCGTAAGCCATTTACGTACTATTTGACCTCCAATTGGTGTAGATGTATTATTATAATAGCTATAGTTAAAGGAATATTATACCAACAAGTATGGCAACAGTAGTGACCGTATAGTACGACTCGTTTCGCATTGTTTCGGAAACCACAAACGTGGTATGCATGGTATACGTTATAAAACTACAAGATTCYATTCGCCTGGTATCAAATTCAACCTACTCTAATTATTATCATACGCGTTTCTAATTAATTGCTGAGGACTCATACCTAAAAGTTATATTTTCAAATCACTGTACACGTGTTCAGCGGTCTCGAACTACTTCATTATTACCCTGTAACAATTTGTAATGATTGTCCGTTGCGTGTTCAAATTTYCGAATTAGTACCTACTCATAAATAATAACGATCGAAAAAAATATACGCCGTGGCATCGTTTCAAATTGATTTTAGAGTCAGTTGACTGTACAATATTTGTGTGTACCTACCTATTATTTCCTGTTATTGTATTATAAATGTTACTACCGATTCAAATAGAAATAGTAGTTTCTAAGGAGGTTTATAGGAGCACTTGTAACGGGAGCTCCAACAAAGAATATTAAATCACTTTGGGAACTCTTCAATACTTTCTTTAAGATTGCAAATTTATATTATTTATATATTACAATATTATTATTAATACATTATTTTATGTTATGTATCTATAAATAAACGATCTATAACAATTTTAATGTTAAATACTTATTAGTATGCTATATTGATCCAATGTATCATACAATAAACATAAATTATTAAAATAATGAATAATTATAGAATAATGAATATATTTTGAATATAGAGTTTTAGAATAATGCTTATTAATTTTAGTTTATTCGACAGTCACCAAGCGTACTCTTCGATTGTGATACTCATTGCACTAAAGATGATATTGAACTCATTATAAAACAAACTATACTGCCCTKCTAAGCAAAAGTGCCATAAAAACCAAATTATTAGTTTTGTGAAAAGTGCAGTTTTGTATTTTTCATTTTATTATACCTTTATTATTTTAATTAATTACCTTTAATAATGATGCTATTAAGTTTTTTTAAGTCAATTTTTTTTTTTAAACGACTAAAATGTAAAATAATATTATCAGTTGATAATATGTACATCAAAATGATATATAGTTTTAATAGAAATATTAGTAGGTATAATATTAACTATCATTAAAATTGTGGCATACGTATAAAATAATAATATAACCAATTATTTTTTGTTATAGTTTAACTGTCGTTAGAAAACTTAGCACTAAGAATTTTCCTCGTTAGTTAAAAGTAATAGACCCAAAGAMATATTAACACAATAAAACATATACAAAAAAATACTTATCAATACTGTGATACTTTGCCCATGTATACAGATATAATGTCGAAAATTTTTTTTTAAATACGAGTAGGTATATTTAAAAAAAAACTATACAGAACTATATATAGAAATTTTTCCAATGATCCTTCACTCTGAAGTATGTCTTAATATTTAATTTTCATCTATTTGATTATTGTATAATATATTACAGTAGGTAGTTTATTTAAAAATTGACCATGAATTAATCAAATAAATATAAATGCTTAGCTCAGACACATATTTAAAATTGTATTTAAGTGAATTAAAAAATTCAAATTATTAGTACTAATATAACATAATAAGTATATCAAGGTATATCATATAAGTCAGTTGGTATACGTGTATACGTAT